GCGTACGCTGCAAAAACTGTTCAAGATACCGACAAAATTTGCTTGCAAGAACGACGGGAAGACGCGACCGACATCGTGGGTAACTTAAGTTTATAAAGAAGGAGTGCAAGAACGAATTTGGTTGCCCAAAATAAATATTCTTAGCGGACGAAGTCGCTGGCACAGCTAGTGTACCATACTAATTACATAATAATTCCTACCACTCATTTGTTATTATGTATCTAGATTTGCTTTCAGAGTCTAACGTGATTCAGAAAAATTATAAATTTATTAAATAATTGTCGAACCCGATGGGGATCAAACCCGCGACCCGTTGATTAAGACAATTAGATCAAGCCCGTCGTAAATATGATATCGGAGACTTAAAACTACCCCAAATAAAACACATCGCTCACTGACCGCCGTAGATCATCCGAAAAATCGAAATAAACATTAATAATAATTATAAAGTACGCACCTGGTGCGGTGGCGGACTGGGTTCAAATCCCGCCTGATTGAAAATACATATGCGGTGACATGAACGACGAGCGTGGAGTGGAGTTGATGTGTTATGTTTTATACTGTATTGATTTATTCGTCACGAAGTTTCGTATCTTCATAACACTTTGCTAACATAAAAACTTGGATTGTTGCTTTATATTAATATCAACTTATATATAGGTTGTTGAAATTCACATGTCAAATTTGTAATCCAAGGACGCAATATATGTGCAGTACAAGGCACTACTTGCCTCTTGTGAAACGGATACAAAAATGTGTTCGCCCCGTGCCCCAACGGGGGGAATCGTAATTTCGTGTATATGTGTAGTTACTAAGCTGAATATTTAGTATACATGACACATTTTATTAATTTTGTACTCACGATTATGTCCTTTACTGGTGTACCGACAAACGCCCGTACAAAATTACTATATTTTTATAATAATATTATTTTATAGCATAGCTAGCATAATTCTAAATCTATGTCAGCGTCGTGCTCACTTCAATGTTTATATTAAAAGCAAATTTACAAGGTTAGCTTAGTGAGCGTCCTATTTTCCACTTTCTTGTCCAGTTCGACCGAAACAACTGTGTCCAGTTCGACCGAAACAATATTTCTTGGGATTCAAACGCCTGCTTGCTTAAGCGTGCTTATTGCAAGTGTGCGATGAAGAAGAGGTCGTAAAACGGTAATATTCAATAATTTAACGATTACATAACATTCAGAACGACTCCACGCATTCCGTCATGGCGGCGCCCGCATGTCATTCCCGGGCCCATTATAAAATGTCGACTATAATCGGCCTTTATTTTTATTTTATTTGCCTCCAACCACCCCTCCCCCCACCCCAAGCACCCACACCCCGATATTTCAAAGTTAACGACTGCATAAAAATATAACACTCGACTTGAAAAATTCGGCCTATATTTTTCGTGCTATGAAATGAAGTGGGGTATATGAAAGTATCAGAAACCGCTTCTTGAAGAACGATATTAATATTTAGGAAGAACTTTTGTAAAGATATAACTGTGTTTTACACTGCCTGTAGTTTACGCAAGTAGTATATTTAAATAAAAACATTTTAAACGGTTTAAAACGCAACATATATTTATTAACTACCTGTGTTTCGCATATTAACCACGTTTTAAACCATTAAAGTGTTTTATTTGAAATGAGTGAAAACCACGATTAAAATTCCAACCAATAGTTTCTGAGATTAGCGTGTTCAAACAAACCAACTCTTCAGCTTTATATAATAGCATAGATAGCGTTATAAACAGTTCAACTCATTTTCAGGAATGTTATTAATGCTAAGGTGTGTTCACATTTATGTACTAAACCTAGATTAACTAGACTGTTGATGTAAATACGAAATAGTTTCATGCCAAACGTCACTTTACTCTATCGCTTAATTACTTACACGACATTAAATTTGGCGGTCAAACTGTAATTTGGTTATTTTTAACCTATGAAAATGGGTTAAAATAACCAAGTTTTTTTCTAGAAACTTCTTTTTAACCACTGCGTAGTCAAATGCCAAGTAAATTCAAGTTAAACGATACTTAATAATGAAACATCTTTTTTGAAAACGGCTTGTCGAGTTATGGCATGATAAAGTACGTGCTTACTTGTTACACCAAATTCTCGAATTGAAGTTAAAATAAGTAACATTATAATAGAGAAGAGGGACATGCCCTTGATGATAGGTAAAGTAAGCTATATAATAGTGCTATAATATCTAAAATGCGCTGTCGATCTATTTGACTTTGGATATTCGGAAATCCGCAAATTAAATTTCACGTCTTATACATCTTATCTACAGTTTTTCTCGACCCGAACTGGACTTAGATATCTCTACCCATTCAATATCCAGATTTTCAGACTTGTTACAGACATATTACAGAAAAATTATGAAATAATTAGAATCATATTGGACCCAGTGGGGATCGAAGCATCGACCAGTTGATTATAAGCCATACGTTGCTACACCAACGAACATAATACTGCGTGCTACAATATGAATGATCTTATGAATAAGTCAGTACTTATTGGGCTAGAAAAGACATTTATCGTTTAGTATCTATAAAAACTGGATGTCTTTTAGATCACATATAAGTAGATCACGATATAGTGAATGGCTCCCCGTACACAATTACAAGGGTCGAAAAGGTCCTTGTTTGACATTTGTCGGGGCAAGCAACTTCTAAATGTCAACTCACGAATCTGTTTTATATGAAACCAATTAAATTGACAACTACCGTCAAGCACTAACGCTAGAAAAATATTAAAATAAAACACTTTAACGGTTTAAAACGCGATATATTAGTTAAACTTATTTAAAAATGATTTTTAACTTCGGCCCGACGTTTCGGATGCTTTGCAGCAGCCGTGGTCACGGGGAGACTGTGTACTACTCGCGTAAACTATAGACAGCTAGAAAAATAATTATTCTTCTCCATCATGCTCGGATATTTAGGCGTTATTTTGACGATCAGCTTCAAGATAAATCGAACTTGCTGTATCCAGCATATCCATATCTGTCTTGTTTATCCGCCAAATAAATTACTTTCTAAAATAATTTTGTCGTGTAATTAAAAAAAATGATATTTTACTCCGCAACATGGCGACCAAAGAGGTAACTAATGAAAGTTTTAATTTAAAATTCGAACTGGCTTGCACATAGGCAGCTGTTTAGTGACAATTAATAGACTACTTTGCCGCGTAAAAAAACGATTGTTATATATTGTTCATCAACTTCGTCATTGGTTTTAAAGTTCGAATATATTATAATACAATCATCGATCAAGTAGTGACCGATGAATAAAATACTAATTTCCGTACCTTATTTGTTTATTATTAAAGGTTATGTTGCATTACAGTACATACTTACTTTTAGTTTCAAATTGTTATTTTGCTATGTCAGTATTGTTTACGCGAGTATTACAATATTACAATTAAACATTTAATTAGGTTTCGTTTTATTGTGTCCCAGGTAACTTTTAAATTTTGACGTTATGGTTAATGTAGCTTATATCATTAGAAATCATTCTTGACGAGTAAAGTTTATCCAGTCGCCATTATTTGTCTTACCATTATAATAATTTGATTGTGTTGAATTATAAGGAAATTTAGCACTGAAAACTTAAATTAAAAACACCGAAATCGTAGAAAACATGACATTACAATTTAATTCGTAGCGGAAAACATCTGTGAAGTAATTAAACTTCACAAGTTAATATAAAAACTTTTTACTCCGCCGGAATAAAAAAAAACATAATGAAAAAAGGCGCCAACGGGCTCCCGCGTTTTGTTTATACGTCAAATAATAAGGCGAAAGTTTCCTCGTGTTTTCTTAAAAGAAAAGCGAAAATATTTGAAAGCTGGCTGAACTTAAATTTATTACACCATTACTTTTAATCATAAATGTGGAAGCGGGATGGCGAATATTAAAAGAACTCGCGTGTTGTGAAATGGAAATAGTGTTTCGCTGAAACAGAAAGAGATAGATGTATTTACATTGCCGCGCCCTTTTGATAGTGTTTCCAAATTTTCGGAAAGCATCGTGAATTGTTTGCTATAAGGGATGGCTTACATGGCGGTTACTCAATATCTAATACTGTCACTTGGCAATATTTTATTGTGGTATGATAGCTTAAAACATTTGTCTTAAATGCAACCGTAATTATTTTCATATACATTACTACATTTTCTTACAATGAATCTCCTTATATTAAATTCTTATTAATGTTTTTGAAGCCATTGTATTCTATAGTATAAACCTACTTATATTTAAATTCCTAATGGCAACAATAATTGTCCGCAGTTTACGCGAATAGTACAAATTGAAATAAAACACGTTTAACGGAAACACGCGGAGTATAGTAGGTAACTTTTTTACGATTTATTTAATCTAGGGTGGGCACTTTGTCAATAGTGCTACTGAAAATAAATTGCAGCAGCCCTGGTACGTTGGGTAGTAGTTACAATTAAATTAAAAACAACTTAAGTAGTATATTTATTGTTCTAAGCCGTTAAAAGTGTTTTATTAAAATCCATATAACATTTTTAGTTTTTTCTTTTGCACGAATTATTCTTAATTACTATAACTATACTAAATAAAATAATAACGAAATATATAGTAATAGAAAATATTACTGTATGATTGTGTATTGTGTCTTAAGTGTAGAAGGGTTAGGGCAGCGGTAGGCCATGTAGCCCCACTCTTATCGATAGTGCACCGGCCCCTGTCGAAATAATCAAATCGAGGGGTAGCCCGTTGGGGTGAGATTTTTGCTATTTTCGACAAAAAAAGACACATTGCACCGTTTTTACCTAAAACACGTTAGTTTTAAGCGCACGCGCACTCAGTAGCACGCGCCCGTTGACAAATTTGGATTTCTCTAAGAGCGATAAAAGTGCGAACTATTTTCTTTCTGTGGTACCCTAGAAATATAGAACGAAGTTTTATTTTTCATTGTGTTTTTATATAATGGTGATATGCAGTGATCGCTTGTGACAAATGAAGGAAGACAATTCAGAATTTACTTTCAATCGAGAAAGGTGAGACTTCTAATTGGAATCGACTAAGACGTTTTAAAATTTTAATATTTTTTACATGTTATTGCACTTGATGGCAATATAATAATTAAAAATCGACGATGACGTGTAGGACTCGGTAGCTCAATTTTAAACAGCACGGAACGCTGACAATACAGTTGAAGTCCAGCCCGAGTCGTAATTTTATTAAATTTATAATCGACTAAGACGTTGTACTTGAAAATTGTACAATCCTTTGCCAAAACCCAAAACCTTTTTACTAAATTTATAACAGCTTACTATAATAAAAAAAAAGTTATCGCAAAATACTGTTGTAGAAGTGAAAAAAAAAAAACACTTTTAACGGCTTATGAACTATATTAAAATAAAAATATATGTAAGAAACGTACTTACTATGTTTTACTTACTAAAATTATATAAACAACTCTTAAATTATCTTCATCATTATGATATGATTAACTAGCTGTGTCAGCGACTTCGTCCGCGTATATAACACTTCTTCATCTTTATAAATTCAAGCTGACCCCGATCGGTCGCGTTGTTCTTGCAACTTACTCTCGAAAGATAGACATATACTGTCGCGGACATTTTTCTTGGTGGCTTAAAGAGGAATTGTTCAATGTCATATATTTTTTGGCTGTCTTGAACCGTTTTCGCAACGTACGCATCTGATACCCACAGAGATGAAAAATTTTCCCCCTTTTCCCCCGCTGCATCTTCGATTACACAGGACAATGTTTTATAGTCTATAGCCTTCCTTGATAGTACTTCTAAGAGACACAAAAATAATTTTTCAATTACTAGGTACGACTTCGTCACAGACAAACTTTAGCTACCTACCACACTTGCTAATTGATTGCTTGTCTTGAGAGGCAAGAGAGGAAACTTGATCGCATTCTTTTTTAATATAATAATTAAAATTTAATATAATATAATACTTAATACAAAGTAACGATATTTATTACGAAATGATGATAGGATATTACAGAGTTTTACCTCATTGAAGTTATACATATATCAACAATAGAAGATTTAATTTTATATACAAATACGGAAATAACATTCAATAAGTCATCTACTAAAAACAAATGAAATTTTTTTGGCATACATACATACATCTAATTCAGGGCAAAGCGATTATGTAAATAAAAAGAACCATTTTAATATTTTTTATTACATCTTAATTTACTTATACGTAATATTACTTTCGTTTCTTAAGCACTAAACTCTTTAAATAAAACAATTTTAACCGTTTAAAACGCGAAATGTAATAAGTTATTTACAAATTATTATTTTCACTACGGCCCGACCTTGCGGATGTTTAACAGCAGCCGTGATCATAGGTTACTTTGCGTGGTTTTATTTAAATATACCTACACTACCCGCGTAAACTACAGACATTATTTAAGTACTAAACTGTATGTTAAAAATGCGTTGTTGTAACTAAAGAAGATTTGACCAGGAGCCCGAACTGAGCAACGCACCTTGCTCAGTTTGAGTTTTAGTTTTGAATAATTACAACAATAAGTAAAACACAGATTGACTAGTATTTTAATTACAAAATAAGCTTTTAGTCGTAAATGAAATTGGTTTCAATTTTCTTTTAATTATCAATTAGCTGTAGCCAGAATATAAGGACAATGAACAATATTAATAGACCCCAATATCTTTGAAACATGATCAAAATATATACAAACGTTTATTTCAATTCCAGATGCGGCGGTGACGCGATGTCGGTAGCGCCGGCAGTAAAGCGCGAGCGCGACTGCGGGCCTGGGGCAAGCGGGGGAGAGGGTGACGGGGGTGGCAGTCCAGGGAGAAAGCGCCGTAAGCAAGCTGCACCGGCGCGCGCGCAGCCACCGCCGTTAGACCTGCATGCCAAGATGGCTGACATCTACAAAAGCGCGCTGGCTTTTGGAGAGCTCACTCTACCCACTTTTGATCCTCTCGCCGCCTTTAGACTCCTACCTCGCCACGACCCTCCGAGAATCTTTAACCCTGAAGCCTACTGCGATCTGTGTTGCAAAGAGTTTTGCAACAAATACTTCTTGAAGACTCACCGAGCCAATAAACACGGTATTTACGATGGAGAACCTCAACCTCATCCCGGATTTCAGCAGCAGCAGCAACAACCACAGACATCTCCTCCGCGAAGAGCTTCCGATGAGGAATCCGGTGGAACTCCTCGGCGACTGTCACCAGATTCGGCGAGACGCGCCCGTGAATCCGCTTTTCAACCTGATGTTCTGCGACGACTTGGTGTTACTAATCCGGAAGCGTTCTGTGAAATTTGTTGCAAAGAGTATTGCAACAAGTATTTCTTGCGAACTCATAGAGAGAGACGACACGGAGTGCCGCCGTTACGATCACCAGCAACCGACAACTCACCGAACCATCTTGCTGCTTCGTCACCAACTATACCTATTTTACAAACGTCGCCGCACACTGAAACACCACCGCGAGCTCTCTCTTTACCGCCTCCGTTTGATAATGGAGATCCACCTGAAGTGAAACAGGAGCGTGAGGACCGAGAAGACATAGAAAGTGTATTACGAGAGAGTCAGACGAGTCCTTTAAATTTGATTGTTGAAGAAAGAGGCGCCGCATCGCCCGGGTCTGCTAGTGAAGAGTTACGTAAACTACAAACGATGATATCACAACTAAACGAGCTAGCAGCTGAGCGTCTAGCGGATGAGCCTAACGAGGCACCTCGGCCGCCATCCTCTTCTCCCCCGCCACAAGACGAAAGACGCGGGGGAGCCGGTTCCAGTTTCTGTGAGATTTGCAACAAAGAGCTATGTAATAAATATTTCATGCGAACACATATGCAAAGAATGCACGGTATTTCACTGGAGAGTGGCACGCAGCTAGGCGGAGTTACGTGTGATATATGTCATAAAGAATTGTGCAGTAAATACTTTTTGCGAGTACATAAACATAACACGCACGGAATACCGGCACCGCCTGCGCCGGCAAACGCCGCTCCTGCTGAGCCCTGCCCCCTTTGTGCGCGTCGTTTTCGGGGACCGAGAGCTCTACGGGCACACTTGCTAGCAGAACACGCCCCGCCAGCTCGACCGCCTCCACCGCCGCCCTTGCCGCCACGTCCACTCGACCTCCTTACGCGTGACAAGCCATATGCCTGCGCTTATTGCCCGTTCACTACGGATGTTCTAGCGTTTCTGTTCGCTCATGAACGCGCTCACGTTCAACGCGCCAATGAGCAGCAAGAGAGCGGTGAAATGGAGCAGGAGGGTAGTGCAGAGCCGAGTGAAACCGGTGAGCCCGAGGGAGAGAATGAAGCAGATGCCTACTCTTGCTCGAGATGCGAGTTCAGGGCTGAAGGGTTTGCCGCATTGGAGGCTCACGTGCGTGCTGCGCACGGGGGCGCGGGGGCCCTCCTGGCGGTGCCGCGGGCGCCGCGCGCGCCTCTGACGATGCAGCCGTTCGTGTTGGAGGAAGCGGGGGGCGCGCTGAGCCTGTTACCGGCGCTCGTTTTCCTGCCGGTGCGCCGTCGGGCTACGCGCCGCGCCACCGTCACCCTAACGCTGACGCCTGCCTAGCTCGTCGCCGACGCGGGCCCCGGCGAGCCCCCTTAGGGCGTCTGCGACCCTCGAGGGCGCTCGCAGGGCGGTCTGGGCGACGACGGTCCGACCCGCGCGCGTCCGCGGCTGGCGACTACACCGCTCGCGGGCGCGCGCTCGATCGCCGAACTGTTGAACTACATGTAACGCTGTGTGCCTTCGAGCGATTGCCTAGCGCCACACCGCGCGGCACCCCTGCTCTTTATGATTTAAATTCGTATATTGAGAATTATATTCACGGGTGATATATGAAACGTTGCCGCTTATGAATCGGTTTTATTATCTCCTCGACGTTGGGTCGGTCCGAGACGAGTTTATGAAACGTCGATTTCGATCGGGAGAAGAAATACACCCTAGGATTAGTTTATTTAAATACGTATTTTGGTGAGCGCGTCTCACTGTAGCGTCGTAGTACATACCGGTGCGATGTTGATCACTGAGCTAGCGCTTCGGTGGGGCACGGGGACATCGGGGGCGCTTCGCCGGGGCGAAGGCCGGGGCGCGCCGTCGCGTGGAGCATCCGAGGCGCCGCGACTCGCCCACAGTACCCAGCGGGTGCGGCAGAGTACTGCGACAACCGATCTACCTCACGTTAGTTTAAGCTGTTGTTGTATAAATATATTTTGGAGTTAAAGTACAAATAACGTTATCGCCGCGGACGGAGACCGCTCGTGTTAGCTATATATTGTTGTCTAGAAGCGACTAATGCACAAAGATACGTACTATTGGGCAGTGATCAACATTAAACGTAATTAGTATAAACTGTTTAGATGTGGCGTAGCTCGGCCAGTTTTGTTGTGTAACACATGAGGAATACGGGTCATTGTTTTAGGGGGGGTGTGGGCCCAGCTCCCGCCCACCCGAAGTCGTTGGCCGGGCTGTATTTTAAATTTATTTCTATTGTAATTTATTACTTGATATGTTATTGCAATGCTGAGATATCTCTTTTGCGGAGCCGAAACCACTCTATTATCTATTGGGCAGAAGTTCTCTGTAACTTATAATCGATTTTATGAAGGATAAACTGCTACTTCTATCCCTTCCAAAATCGGAGATCAGCTGCCGTAAGAGAGATGCCTACGCGCATAAAATTGTTCAGATGATTATATATATTCAGAAACCATTCGAAGACAGGTTTATTTATATTATTTAGTAGATCATTGTGAAGGATAGCTTGTACAAACCATGCAGCTTCTAAAAAAAGTTCCTATGTATGTACGTAAGATGTAATTTAATGAACTAGAGGTCGTGCGCGGAACGGCTTCGAACGTAGAACGGCTTCGCCTGGATATGACGTGAAGAGGAAAGCCGAGTAAAATTTTAATCAGTATCCTGAAACCAATTCTTCGGTCATTAAAGGAATTGAACTAACGCGAATATTCGAAAATGTTCAAAAGTTTTGTTTAATGATTGAATAATGAATGTGTCACGTGACGTGAAAATGTTCCTAAATAAGTTCCTTAGTACGAAATAGAGTATTTGAGTTCCTTGAGAAACCTTCCTAATAGTCTTCCTATAGACCACACTCCGTTCGAAGCCGGAACGCGACCGCGCAATACAACAAATTATATTAATAATGTTTTAAATAATAACAAATTAAAAATACGCGTGGCTACGATCTCTTGGTTGTGCAAACTCTGACGAGGAGTGCGTTTTGGAACCATATTTGGAGGGAACGCGGACATTTTTACTGTAAACGCTGTGGTCTTGTACAAATCCACTAGGCCGTACAGCATTACGCTACCTCAGGATTTTTTACCATTACATCCGAATGTTCACAGTACTAGTCGACAAGCAGTTAAATGAGATTCAAAGTAACTTGAGGAAATAACTTTATAGTGCGTACATTTAAATAGTACATTGTGGGGGGCGGGGAGGGGGGTGAAAAAAATGTGAACTTTGTAAATCATTTTTTTTCATTCAAAACTATTACGTTTTGTAAGTTAAAACTTTGCATTTAGATAGTGAACCACAAATTAAATATATCCAAAAAAGAAAAGACGCTACGTCGTGCTTTAAGTCGAAGCAAGTTTAAGAGATAGTACATGTCTATTCCTAAAGCGATACGCTGTAAGCGGCCAACTGCGTTTCTATCAGACCATAGCCTAAGGAGTTTGGACGGCCAAAGAGATCGGTATATGTAGTGAAAATCGTGATGTTCAGGACTGTTCCGCTTCGCGTTGTACCCCGAGTGGATGACCAATTTATAGATTAATTAAACGAGTACAAATTGAGCCCGAGTTACAACGGCGTCTGGTGATAGATATATACAGTACAAATTAATATTAAGAGTAGATACAGGAACTACAACAGATGTTTAGGTGTATTATGTAATTTCACTCGGGTACAGCGCTACACTCCGTTACAGTCGCACAGTTATTTCGTTTGATGTTTCTAAGTATCCGACTACTGTGATAGAAGAACTACCTGCTTCACTTATTGTTTCTGCAGTAATACATCGGTGTTGAAAAAAATCCTTTAACAATTTATATTACGTCATAGATTCTTTAAAAGTGTTTTATTTAAATGTGTACAACTAACGTAAATTACAGACACAGTAAGTTTGTTATTTTAAATTTAAAAACTCACTGAAAACACACAATAAGATTTCAATGAAGCACTTTTAACGGTAAGAAACACGAAATGTATTAATTAACTTATTTACACTTTATTGAATTACCTCATGTTACGGATGCTTGCAGCAGACGTGGTCACGGGGAACGGAGTCAAGTGAATAAGTCATTTCGCGTTTTATACCGTTAAAAGTGTTTTATGTGTACTACCGTGAACTAAGATTCATTTACAGAATTGTAAAACTATTGACTTACAATGTAAAAATCCAGATCCCAACAAATATATTTGAACTTCGTAAAGGTAACCAAAGATTTCGAAGATCTCATAAAAAAATAATGTTTTTAATATTAATCTGAAATCGTTTGATCTTATCGTCATTGAATTTTACAGATGTTAATTATTAAAATACAAATCAATGATGATAAGTGAACGATTAAATCATTCCAGACTTAAGTAAATCTAGTCATATGTTTAAGTTACACGTGCGACTGTATATACGTATGTAATTATTTTACAAATTATAAAGCTGTGTTATTTCTAGTCAAATTATTTTATGTATTATCCAATTTTATCAGTATGGACGCAAAACTATAAAAATATATAAAATAAACTAATATATACGATGAGATATAATTTTATACAAATCTGAAAAAATCTTCCGCATTACTGTACTTTACAAAAACGTGCGTCCATGTTGGTAATTTTAAAGTAAAGAGAATTATATCCAGGCCTGGTGGAAGCCTGATCTTAAGCTGTGATGAGTGCGTAACGTTTGGTATAAATTAATGAACAAACATACATCTTTTATTGAATGAAATCTTCATAAACAGTTCATATAAAAATCAGTAAGCAATCTGTTTTGCTTACAACAACAAAAAATGTTTGCAACGTCTGAATTCTTCAAAATAAAACTATTTTTGGATAAATATCAGAGAAGAACAACATAAAAATAGTTAGTGGTCTTAATATATGAAAATTTCAATTTGACTTATCGGTACGAATTACGATATATCTGAACTGAAAAAAACGCGAAATATTTTTGTTTACTAATTTTTAACATGACCCGACACAGTAGAAGAATAACGAAATTACCCTGGTTACCGTGGTCGTTGTTAGAAATAAGTAAACTTATATATTTCGCGTTTAAATCCATTAAGAATGTTTTTATTGAAATGTATAAGTGCAGATATAAGCCGCATTGGCATATAATTTAACTGAATTACAAACAATTTCTCATAAGTATGATCAGTTACTCTGAATCCAAATGTATTCCAACAAAACCAAACTTTGCGCACTCATCTGCGGTCGGTATATGTTCCTAGATCCGTCTGTTTGTTGTTTGTTTTCATTAATTACTACGAAACATTTCTACCGTATTCAATAAATTAAATATACAAATAAAAGCAAGCATTTTCCTTATAGTTTCTCTGCCCTACTTTTTGCGTTGCGGATGAAGAATGTGTTTGCAATCCAAAAATATGGAGTTTCAGCAACCACAAGTAACATGAGAGATGTGATGGCATGGATTGGTTTTTTGGTGTTAATTTTAGTGTTAATTGTTAAGCCTAACGGTATGTTAAGTGTAGGTCATGGATTCAAACCCGGAGGGAAGGCACCAATTTGGGTGTTCATACATGTAAGCATGCAATTACTTCGTTGGTCTAGTGGTGTAGTGAACTCGACTGTACCCGATCCCGCGCATGAGGTCCTTGGTTCGAATCCGTTTAGGGCGAAACGTTGGATCGATATTTGGATTTTAAGCAAATGTCTCTAAGCTGTTTGAAACGAGGAGGTGCCAACACCTCCGTGGCTTCAAGATCATATTATTATTTCTAATTTAAACGAATATTAAAAACTCTAGATGCCAAAAAACGTAGTTCTTGATCTGGCCTGGCTACCACGAAACAGATAGTGTTAGCATATCAATTTGACTTTGACATTAGGAACACCGTCCAACTTCAGTCACCCTGTTACCACGACTGCTGCAAATCATCGGAAACGTCGGGCCGTATTGAAATTAATTAAAAGTTAGTAATATATTGCGTAAACCGTTAAATGTGTGTTTTTAGATAGAGTAAACATATAATCCACACTGCAAATTTTATCGATGACCATTCATGTGCGACGAGGTTACATATTATGGTCATGGTGGGTCAAAGCCCTTAAACTCCCACGTCTACAAGGGTATACGAGAGGGAACCTGTAGGAAAGAGCCTATTTAAAAGAATATGGCAGAGCCGAATAACACCGACGCAGTTTCGTTTCAATTATACAATAGAAATGTTTACAATGGACAGAAATGCTCTTAATTAAAGATTATATCCGCGTCAACTGTCGGCTTTAGATTAATAAAAAAATAACAGTGCTTTCCCGAAAAAAATCCCCGTTTTATTAAAAAAACGCGACACCCATTAAAAATCGCGTCCCGAGGGTTGCATTGTGTCGCGCATCTGTCAAACGTTTTATAGGAAAACGGGGAGAAATTGTTGAAAAATGGGTTAAAATGATAAAAAAAACGAATGGGCAAAACATTGAAAAGTACACGAGGGTTAAATCCGTGACGGTGTCAACATCGCGTCAACTTAACCCTGGTCATAGGCCGACACGCTGTAACTTATTAAATTTCGATTTTAAATCCGGTTTTATCTGTGGTACAAATTAATTCAAAATGGCGAAATTACGTGTATTGCGTATAAAATGAAGACATTTATTTTTAATATTGTTCTATGACTGCCAGAATCAAATCACATTAATATATTATTTGTATATACATCCACAGATTTTAATTAAAACAATAATTAGCAAACACAAAATAATTACGCTGTGAACTACTGTGTCACGATTCACTATTTTGTTAATAAAGGTCATATTGAATCATGGTTTTATGAAGAAAGACGAAATCTTTCTTTAAAAAAAATTTCGTTAATATTATTTTAACTAAATTATTTTTAAACTTCGACTCGACGTCAGCACCAGTAATGCTCTAATACTTTTATTAGTTTATAATATATAATATATACTTACCTTTTACACAGTTAAACATGTTTTAAATATGTAGAAACTAATACATCAGAAATATCTTTAAAAAGGTTCTGATTTAAATTTTACTAATAACATTGAGCTACAAATAATTTTATTTAATATTTAGGTAAATTTATAATAGGGAATAATTAATGAGGATAAACGCAATTTGTGGTTAATGACTAATATCTTAAATGAATAACTAATTACAGTAGCTGTCTTATGCGTAAATTATTAATTTTGTTTTCTTGGTGCGTCAGTGTGCAAACACAATTTTACTGTTCCCTTGCTTCAATTGTTCTTATTTAAGAATACATAAAATAGACAATAAAAAAGGTAAAAAATAGATTCAACCAATAGCTAATGTAACTTGAAGAATAAAAACCTATTTTAAATTGAACGAAGTGGATGATGAACACGATAGCTCAATTCGACAAACCAGAGTAACAACACGGATCGATGTGGTCGTCGGTTCGGGATCCGCTCGTGCTATCGAATTTTAAATTTATATATAGCTATGATGTGCAATGGCACGCGAAAATAATAATGTTTCAAGTAATTCATAAAACTTAACAATGGGTGATCAATAACGAGATAACTTCGAAATCTCGACATTTCTACCCTTCTACACTATTATTAGGGAATCACACAAAAACTCCCATTTTCCGGAATTTTTTTAACAAAAGTTAAATTTTTTAGAAAAAAAAAAATTGCGAGATCGACTCTAAATCATTTCTAAACAGCTTTGTTGAACCCTTGCTTTACCGTAAGCGTGGCAGACGCGCGTCAATAATAAAAAAAACTTTAATTCTCCAAATACACAGTGACCTACATTCATTTGAGATTTTTTTTCAGATTCGCGTAAAAAATCGCCCCTTTGCTACACGTTTTTTTTACGCAAGTAATTGAATTCAATCCTTTGGAAAAGGGTTCAATAAAATACCGACATTAGCCTCATTTCCGCGTTCGAGGTGAAACTTTTTTTGACAGCTAGATGTCATTGTAGCGCGCGAAAATTGTTCGTTTTGTCAAAATTTCGCGCCATTTACGCGGACATCTGCCGGCGAGAAAAAAGTTTTAAATACAATGCAAATAGGGGTGGTGCGCGCGCGCATTAATTTTTAAGGGAATCGATGTTTTTGTATAAAATAGGGAAATGCATTTACCATTTAAAGTATAACGACGCTGTCCCCTTATTTTAATATTAATATCCGAATCTATATCCGAGGGATTAAATGTATTAGCTTTTGTAAAGATAATAAAAGTTATTACCGAAGTTTCGTGTAGATATTATTACGAATTTTAAAAATAGCCGACTTCAAAAAGAATACTAGCCCAATTGATGTATTTTGGTTTAGTTAAATGTAATTGATTTATTTTTATAATATATTTTTTAAGTCTTTCTCCAAAATCGGTTACAGTTATACGCGAACATACATAAGAAGAAGCATACACGTTACGGTCACGGTTATTCCACATTTTCCGGCATTTTAAGGTTTTTAAGGTCCAAAAATATTGAGGCTTAAATAAGGTACCATAATGAGGTAATTTTCAATTTGATTTTATAATTTGTTCCGTAAACATGAATAAGTAAGTACAAAGATTATCGATTAAATTTATTTATATAAGTCTTTTATGAAATCATCTGTTCCACGTCTATAGTTCGGTGGCTGAGCGCGGCAGTGCCTGCGTTCAAGTCCTTAGAATAATATTAGTGTCACCTGGTCACTATCTTTATCACTACTATTATTATTATCACTGTTTAAGAAGCTGCTAGAGACTTGAGTTATTTATATTGTGTAAATCTAAAAATGTCAATCTACTACAGTGACCGAAAATTGTTAACATAATTCTTACACACATAATAGTGAAAAAAACATTTTCGCCTAAGTTGATTGCGCATTTTGATTTTCCTCCTTTTTGAAAGGCATGTTTTTTAGGCCGCTCTGCCTCTAGCATATAGGTCCATATGATCTCAAACTGACTTTTTCTGTAAGGAAAACAACGCAAAGATAAAAAAATAATGTAATCAACCGTCGTAATACATATAGTCAATAAGCAATGTAGCGGCGAGTAGCAAAGCTTTATCTTCAACAGCTAAATCTCTCTCGAACGCAACGCCGTAACTGAAAAAAAAATTTTTATCATATATATCCATTAGTTTTACATATTTAGTATGTGAACCAGTAATTTTAAGGTTAGAATAAAATAAAAATCCTATCTCGCTGTCTTAATTTTTTTTTATACACGCCGTCTCTTTGTCTGTCTATATAGCTAAAGATTAAAAAATATTACAAACTGTGTATATCAATTAATACATTGTGTATAATTTAGGCAAGTAATAAACATTTGGATACACTGTGAACTGTTTAAAACGTGAAAATTTTAGTTAAATTATTAGATTTACGGTTCCTGTATAGTTAACATAAGTAGTACACATTAAAATAAAATCCCCGTTGACTGTTAATTGTCCATGTATGGTTTACATAAGTAGGACACATTTAAATAAATCACTGTTAACGGTTTTAAACGCGAAATATTTTAGTTTACTCATTATATTTGGAATCAGATAATTTGATTTATTGTTCCTCTATAATTTACGTGCTTAGTACACATTGAAATAAAAAACCTGCTAACTGTTTAAAACATGAAATATTGTTGTTAATTTATTTTATTTATTGTACCGCCTTGACCACGGCTGCTGCATGGCACCTCACCAACGTCAAGTTGAATTTAAGATAAATAATAAGTACACTAATACACTTCGCGTTTTAAAGACGTTAACCGTGTTTTATTTAATTTTTACTGTTGAAGTTATAACAATAAATACTGATAAAAAATGTAATAAATATCTAAGTGTAAATACAGACACATTACACATTACTTACACGTAAATACAAACATACTAGAAGACCTACCGATCTGACACAGGCGCGAAAAACATAGCATGTAGAAGACCCTGCCAACGCTTGCAAGTACTCCCCACGTGGGTCCCGTCCATCCTTTGCATCCTGAACTGCAGGTCCCTGAAGAAGCTGATGGTTACCCGTGGTCCTTGAAACAATAACCTCGAGTCCGTATGAAATATTTAAACTAAATCCGAGTATGTACCTACTTCATTGATGAGGGACTAGGGGAGCTATCGAACTTACTTTTTTAATGTCAATATTTAACTGACGGTATAGTTACCCAAAGAATTTAATTAAAATTAAAACACTTTATAACGAAGTGTTATGGTTGAAATTACATTACGCGAGAGGCATGTATCAATAGGTTGAAAAAAAAATGTACCACTTACTGGATTTTTAATTTACTCTATAACTGTTTGAAACAGGAAATATATAGTTAATTAAGTTTCAACTTCAAATAGACGTCCTGGAACCACGGCTGCTGCAAAGTAAGAATTAGTATGTTTGGTCGTTGTTTGAAATATAACAACTAATATATTTCGCGTTTTGAACAGTTGATAAGTGTATTATTTGGTGTGCATTGCTCACGTAAGCTACGTCAAATAAATCATATTTTATTGTTGTCTAGAAAACGACAATAATTTTTTATTAATGATTTTAATGTTTGAGTTTTTAGTAAATATACTTTTCAATATTATAAGGAATCTTGTATTTCCTACACTTCACGAACTTAATATTTCCAATGTTATGGGAAAATTATTTAAGCTACGGACTACACACAGTACCTAAGCTCGCCAGATAAGATTTTCCTACATCGTCTGAGAGTTGAGTAATTGTCGCACGCAAGTAAGCGATTCGCTATTATTAATATTACGTACATGTATATAATTTGTAGGTACCTTGTATCCAAAAAGCTTCATCCCCGTTTTGTCTTCGCACCAAGTAGATGGGTCGAACCGGTGCCCATTGCTGTTCAATACTTCCAATTTTTCGACCAGGAGGCGAAAATACCTAGAAAATTGTTAAATAATTCCTGAGCGAACAAACAAACTATTCAACTCTATAATATGTATTAGAATAGATTACAAGAACACTAATAAAATAGACTTTCTGGACATTTGTGTTCGTTGTACGCCCTTAATTTAAGGTCGTAGTCCAAGAACTTTTTCTATGAGTTGATGTGTTTATATGGTGTGTGTATTACATAAATGAAAAACATATTTCTACATAAGTTACCTGTACGTTTTGGAGTTGACAGGGAAATATCCGCGACGTACAGGCGTAAGGGCGGTTAATCCTAATCACCTCTTCCGAAGAATTGTTGAAGACGCGGAGCTGCAGAGGTCGGAGACCATAGCAGAGGTAACCAACCCACCAACTACGAAAAAAAATAGTAGAAAAAAGTCATAAATTTTTTTTTGTCAAGTCATAAGTTTCCTTCCAATTGAGTTCCATGTTTTAAAATTAACATCTGCAATATGAAGGTAGTTTGCACAAGAAGTACACGTTTAAATAAAACACAAATTAAATAAAATAAGTTTATACTTCACGTTTCAAACCGTTAAATATCTTGCCTGTAGTTAAATTTATTTAATTACTACCTGGTCACGAACGGGTCCCAGATGTGAAAGCCGTCAAGTTTAAAAAGTAAAAGGTTTCAATAAAACACTTTAACGCTTAAAAATACCAATTTCAACGGAAGAGATGGCGCTGGCGTAGCAGTGTATTAGTTTGACGTCAGAGATATCCTCCATTTTTAGTCTCCCTGTGACCACTTTACCTAATATATATCACGTTTTAAACCGTTAACGTATTTTATTTAAATCTACTGATATTGTTAATTTATTTCCATTATAAATATTCACCTGTTCTCTTCTTCAATAGTATAAACGAGATTTCTATCAGGCAACCTAACTGAGAATCTATTCTTTTTGCCTCGTAGGAACAACACAGTTTTCACGCGAAGGCGTTTCGTTATGAAAAGACGATCTACTTCTGTCAGGTCGTGGAGTATGTCACTGTGGCCTTCGTTGCTAGTTTCAATTTCGACCTGATAAAAATGTATATTCTGTACTCAAAACTAAAGACTAGTAATTTTGCTTAGTATAATAATAAAATATGGTAATTTATTTGTGATTTGAAAGCCTTTTAAAAATAAAAAAGTACTTTTAAATTACATCCATAATAAACTAATATTATAAATGTGCTTGTATGTTTGTTTCTCCGTCTTTCACGGCAAAACGGAGCTACTTACTGACGTGATTTTCTAAGTGGAAATAGCTGAAAGAATATAGAGGAACAAAGGCTAATTTTTGTCTCTTTCTAACCCCCCACTTCTCAAAAATGGGGGTGAAGTTTGTATGGAGTATTTCGCAATTTTCAAGGTAGAAAGCTATGGGGATAAAATTGATATGCCGACTTTTTGGTTACAAAAACCGCGCCCCTTTTTTTTAATCCGCTCCAAACCAATCACTATCTTCTCGTTCGGTATCGTGCTACACCAAAATAATGGCGGGCGACGCCACGGGTTAAACCTAGTAAATATATAGAAAGCTATTCTAAAGTCAATAAACTATTGTTAGTCTGTTCATTAGAGATTTTATATTAATTTGTACACATTAGATACAAGTATCCCTTTGTTCTGACTTCTTAAACTACATATAAATAGATCAAAGATTACAAGAAATAATAACCTGAGGTTCTAATGGTTCTACGAGAGGCTCCTTCAAGAGCTCAAAATTAGGTTCCACGGAGGCAGGTATAGGTGTTATTTGCATCATCTTGAATATAAAAAATAAATTTAAAAAATAATTAATATGTCCAATACATATTATAAGACGCTGTCACAAACGGTCGTGTCAGGATGACATTTTGAATCTTGAAACGTAAATCAATATTAATTACTATAACATCAAATAATCGATATCTGTGGTTATTATATAATATATTTGTGTACATAAGAATGGGCGAGTTAAACGCTCTTAATGAAGCACTATGAATGGTTTAAATTGTGAAAATTATTAGTCAACTTATTTTTAACTACGATGCTATTATTGTGATAATTATATTTGGCATACCGATAAAAGACAGGGTGATCAGTCCACATTATCAGCTAACTATTTCATCCATTTACGACAACGACCCTAAAAATTTTGCATTTCAAACAGTTAAAAGTGTTGAACTTAACGTGTTCTATTCACATAAAACACCTATTATAGTCAGATATTAATAAAACACTTAACGGTTTAAAACGTGAAGTATATTGGTACACTTACTTATAAATACTATCTTAATATTATCACCTTTGACTACGGTTGCTTAGACTTATAAACAGCAGATCATAATTAAAAAGATTAAATATACTTCAAGTTTGAAAGTACAAAAGCAGTTTTATTTAATGGCTTCTTAAAAAATAAAATACCATACAAAACCATTAATTTAAAACACTTTTTCGTGTCTTGACGGTTAAATCTAGATTCCCGAGAATCAAGTTCCGGTCGGAAGGGCACAGAAGTCTGATCAACTTGCCTGTAAATTAACTCATTCAAGTAAACGGACACATAAATGCGTCTGCCTTATGTAAGGGAAACGACATTTCGTTTCGCAGAAACAATACGGCTATGCCTAAGTAATAATTCGAAATAGTGCATTAATTTTGTATGCAACTTATTTGTTTCCACCCTCTGGTCATAAAAACTCATTGTGAAACGGGACCCATGCAAATCTATTATTATTAAGAGCAGGACTTTATTTAAATTTGTGGAAAAAACGAAAAATGTATCGCTTTTATCAATCGAAGCTCTACTCCAATTACAATACACATAGGGTGACCATGATTCTGTTTTTAGTTAAACGTGTATATGTGTATGTTAATAGCATTTAAAAATTGACATTGACATTTTACTAAATGAATCAGTAAATTGTCAACGTCAGGTTTACATCACATTTTGCATTTTATAAAACTAGTTCTTTTACTTCAATGTAATCATAATTTTTACTCTAAATGCAAATATGGCCTTATAAGATTTGAAAATTTTAAAAATTACTTATTAAAGTTTTAAAATCAACTAGCGACCCGACCCGGCTTCGCTCAGGTGCAATGCTGCAACTACGTAGTAAATACACTACAGAAAAACTTTGAACGTCATACTTCGACGAACGAACGTCAACCTTTGTTTGAATCAGTCTATCTATTAAAAAAAACACATCAAATTCTTTTCATTTAAAACAGTAATTAAGAGATGGACATTACAATTACTAATAACAGCAGTTGCGAGGCGATAAAAGTAACAATAAGCAATTTTACACAAAACGATGGTCACCCCAATTTTAATGTGTCGCGCACGCGCCGCCCGCGGTACCATTTTATGCAAAAACGCAAATTTCTACGAAATTTGAAACGCTCCATTGTTACCGCAGTCGATGGATAAAAATAATCGTTGCAAGTCTTATTTTTAGGGGAAAAATGCATTTTGCCGAAGTTTCAGCCATTATTCTAAGGCAGGAGTGTGCCGGCTGGAGCACAATTAACTATTGGTTTTTATGCAAGCGACAGTTTGAATTAATAAGGATTTTTGCATGGTCAAATAGATTATCGATTCGCTTTGTATGTGGGGCTTGGAACTTTCGTTTAACTTGCGTGGAGCCGTTCGTTGAATTTAAATTATTTTATACTAGCGGCCCGTCCCGGCTTCGCTCGGGTAGACATAAATAGGTACAGGTATTTAAATTATAAGCATGCTAATTAAAACGACCATGAATCACTAAATAAGAAAAAAAAGTATCGCGCGTCCTAGCTGTTAACGACCGTTGTCTATCTCGCTGTGTCAGGGGCCGCTGCGACCGTTCAGTGTTAGAGTCCCGTGCACGCGTTCGCGAATTCCTAGCTCTATTTCCTTCAAGTCGCTGCGAGCCCTCGGCGCTTGATTATTCGTTGTTATAGCTGCGACGATCTTGCATTTCGTTCTGCAAGACGAACTGAACGTTCGACGATTTTTATTATTAGATTCTCTGGCTCGCGATTGGGACACTCTAATACTTTCCAGACGATCATTTTTAGAAGAAGACTCTCCAATACGACGAACTTGTGCTAATCTCGCTTGGGAACTATTCTTAGGTATTTACCGTAAATCAGAGAAATTTAGAATAATCGAATAATAATACAAAAGAAAATATTCAAGTTCAAAGAGGTAATTCCGAAAAAACCTTTGACAAATATTATGCAAAGTGTGATTCCTAATATTAAAACTAAGTAGCTCTGAAAATAAATTTTAAGTGAACCATAAAACTGTTTAAAAAAAAAAGAAACAATCATCGAGTAACAATCGAGTTAGTTACTCGATGCGCAGCGTGGCGGCCGCCGGCATGTATTTTTATTTTAACTTCATGATATCTTTTGAATGGAATGTCCGATTTCGATAATTAAAAAAGTAATCATTAGGTATTGACACAGACAGTCTTAAAAATAAATTATTTATTTGGATAAAAATTTATAAATGGTATGAAAAACATGGGTCCGATTTTGATCGGCATTTCTATTAATTTGTTAAATGTAAAAAAGTAGTTATAGCGACGTAACTACAATAGTTAGACATATGCTCTCGATGCTTGTTGTAGATATTGATATAATCTATAATATTGTCGAACATTTTTTTGTCCTATCATTAATACTTTTCCCAGCGTATGCGAAGAAAGACATTTTATTCGTTGGTTTTAGTAAGAATTTCTATAGATGCCTATAGTAATCAAGTAACTAAAAATGTTACTCAGTGATAATGTAGCTCTAATTTTTATATTTGATATCAATAAAATAAAATTTTTTTATAAATTATATAGACAACTCACAATAAATTTATTTTATAGCAATATTTTTTATATATTTTTTTAATTAGGTTTTGAAAAAGAAGGAGAAGTTTATAAAATGTGAAAGTCCTTATTAATTTGGTGAATAAAGAATTTGTATTTGTATTTGTAATTAGGATGCGCTTTCAAACATTTATAGTTTTTAACATGTGTTAATCCACGGACTCAAATGAAATGTTAAGAACAATCACGGCTCCCCCCCTATCTGTTGACAGTGGTTAGTGACTAAAAATTGTAGGAAAGATACTTAAAAAATATTAAATAATATAATTTTAAAATTTAAACTATAAGATTCGTGTATTTTGCTGGCTGAGAGATTTTTTATTCAAAAAAAGCACTTACTAATTAGAACTTTTTCTAGGAATATTCGATACGATACGATATTAGGAAACGATTCAAGTTTTTATAAACTGTGGAACAATAATCATTTAATTCGGTTAAGCCTATCTTTAAGCAGTCTTCCATTTCTTGCTATAATTTTTACACATTATGGAACGCAATAAGTTTTGTGTTTCTGCTTTTATTAACCACGGATTTTTTATGTTACGATGATCCATCTGATTATATTAAAACTGAACCCCCAGATAAATCTTAGTGTGGTCCTTAGACAGCTTCTAAATTTGCCGATAGAGGCGCGCGAGAAGTCGTTGTTTTGCCAATATTTATCTATATTCGTCCTTTATAGTCTTAAACGCTATTACGCACTGTCGACTGGTTTGAATGGGTGCTAACCCACTTGGTCGTCGGTCACCCAGACAACTCAGCGACTCACACTTTGGTCGCCGAGAGACTGAGTCGCCGGCGACTGGGCGACAGTGCGTAGTGGCTAAAAGTATATATTTACATGTAAAGTATACGTAATGTGTAAAGTATATAGTGTATATAAATAGTCCGAAATCAAAGACGAGTGTCGTTTTGGTAAAACCTGATTTATTTTGTACTTCAACATTTTATAATCTCACATAACATTCATACGTAGAAGAATCTTGAGTTTGTGTTTCGCTACGATTCGGTGAAAATAACAAATTTCATTGTATGATGCTAGTTGAACAGATTAACCCGTTAAGCATTGTCTGTACTTTACACGTTACACAATTAAAGAAAGCACTTTTAACGGTTTAGAACGCGAAATATATTCATTAACTGATTTATAATTTAGACGACATTTCAGATGCCTTGTAGCAAATGTGGCCATTCTCAGTGGCAGTCCTCTCGTAGTTGACGAATATATTTCGCGTTTTAAACCATTAAAAGTGTTTTATTAAGAAGATTAACCGGTTCCTAAAGACTTGTTTCAATTTGAATGCCAGCATTCAATTATATTTTAAATCCATGAACTGTTATAACCTTGGAATGCTTTCGATGTAAAATCTATAATCAATATGTTTTCAAAATTGTCTGGACACAAGCCCAAGGGCGAAATACCACATCACTCCGTTTTAACGCTGTCATAAAATAAAAACAAAGAACAATTTCCTATTAAATTATTGCAACTAGTAAATAATAATACAATTTAATTATTTGTTCGGTAATACTATGTACAAAACACTTAGCTGCAAACACGATTACTGCGAAGATAAACTTAACGAGTGTACTTCTTAACTAGTGTTCTCTCAACAAATAAATTAATATAATACTTAATAGTATCGTTAAGGCACTCCTTCGGTGATTACCTAAAAGATCGTTAAATATTCATCTAAAAATATATGTTTTTATCACAATTTATAATTACTAATATAATATTCTCAACAAAATATTTCTAAGACAAAATGCGTCAAAGTAGAGCACCATTTTTCACTTTAGGTTAATAGGAGAATTTTCGACATCTGTGTAACATCAATGGCTTGGCAACGATCCACGGAGCGAACGGCGACTAGTCGCGCGACTTCGATTCGTACTTTTGTTTTACTCAGTCGCATCGCCGGTCGCCGCCTTAAGTTGTTTGCGAGTTCATTTCTATACATTGTTGCAATCGCTTGATTATACGCGAATGTTTAAAACATGGCATCGTAGTTGATTTATAAACGTCACGTTTCAAACCGTCAATGAATTCAATTAGGAATGCACCACAATAATTCAAATACACCAATTTTTAAATTGGGAAATATAAATTGGTAATTTTCCAAAGCAACGTACAAATTTTAGCTTTGTTAAAATAATATAGATGTGAGATAGCCGTATATTCGTTGGTAACTTTGATGATTTGACTTGTCCCGAACCGCCATTTTGAAATGGCATTCTTGACATAAATGGCACCATAGCTTTTTGGTGGCATGATCACAACTTTAGGATTTTCTTACAATCGTATATTATATACACTACATATATACGCTTTTCACAGAAATCTTATAAAAATACATTGTATATGTAATATATTTACAAAAATAAGTTTATATCTTCAATAGAAACATAAACAAGTTGTGTTAGACACAATCAAGTATATGTTTTTAAAATATTGAAAAATTCACGATCAAACAAGTAATTGTATTATTTTTTAACAATATTGCACGTAGTTAAGTCAACTTCGTCCACATCAAACCGATTGAACTGTACATTTTCAAGAAACATCTTATAAGGTTAAAGATGTCTGTTCTTTCAGTTCACGTCACATTTAAGATTCAGTTGAAAATTACTTCACTGCGCCAACCAGTGTCAAATATCACTGTAAGACCTTATAGATCTCTTTACGCGCTTAGATCCATGTCGAAGCAATGGTGCGCGTGGGAGTGGGAGTGGTGGGGGGCGTGGTGATGCCCCAGAAGCAGTGGAAGAGAACTGTCTCCCAAGCCCACGCCCACGCCGAGGGAGGACTCACCGAGGAGGGAAGAAGAATCTGTAATAATTTAAGTACTTAATTTAAAGATTCTAGTAGTGTGTTATGTATTGTCGTTTACGCGAATAGTACACATTTTAATAAAACACTTTTAACGGTTTAAAAGCGCAATGTATAAGTTAAACTTATTTACAAATTGGTCGTGGTCACGGTGAGACAAGTGTTGCTTGTCAATCATCCAAAACATCGGGTCGAAGTGAAAATAGTTTGTGAATAAGTTTAACTTATACGTATCTTTCGCGTTTTAACCCGTTAAAAGGGTTTTATTTAAATAATTACTTTGTAATTTTATTTTACAAAACCTTTCAATATTAAAAGTAAGGCTACGACTACAAAAGATAGGGTTTTAGACATTTATTAAAGAATGTATACATTCACTTATTACTAAGTTAACTAAATATTACATTGGAATTTGGACAGTATTTTTATCAAACATAACTATAAAAAGGAGGTAGTTATGAACAGTATATCATTGTATTATTATCTAGCTTTGACGTTGTCGGCGCGAACGCAGCTGATCGAGTAAACATACAAAGATAAGCGATACTAGATGGTGCATTCGCACATCACATTAAGTTTATTATTATTTTCTGTATTATTTTATTTTGTGTTATTATATAAATGTACGTGTTGTTTGCTAGTTTTATATTTTGATGAGTTTGATTTATTTATAGTTTTTGCTCTCGATATATTTTTTTTATTCGTTGTAGGTTGTATGTATGTGCAAATTTTTACTTTTATATTTTTATGTTTTTTAATATATGTTCTTTTATTCTTTTTTTGAATAATTTGTAGGAGTTTATTTGTTTAACTAATTTTGGTATATTGTTATATATTTTGGCGCCCTCGTGCAAAATATTATTTTTTCCATAATTTGTACGCGGTGCATATACTATTAGGTCGTTAGCATTTCTAAGTTTTATTTTTTGAACTTGTTGTTTTTTTGTAAACTTGATTTGAGTTAGAATTTCTTTATTTAATATTTTACGGATTAATAAACAGTTATTCAAAATGTATGTTTGTTTAATAGTCATGATTTTTGTTTCGTTATATAACGTATTGGTTGGTGTAAGATAGTCATAGTTAAATAGTCTTTTTAATAGTTTGTTTTGTGCAATTTGTAAAGGCTTAAGATTCGTTTTAACTGCTGTTCCCCACACTTCAATGAGATAATCGATGTGTGGCTTGGCTAAAGAATTATAGATAGTGTAGCGCACGTTTTGCGGGAGACATCTGATAATCCCGCGTAGAGCTCCATTGAGTGACGCCAATTTAGATTTGACCTTTTCTATATGGAGATTCCACGTTAAGCTGCTGTCTAAAGTTAATCCAAGATACTTTTCGCTAGTTACTCTATTTAAAGGTGTGTTATTTATAGTAAGTGGTGTAAATTCTGGGATAATTTTGTTTTTTGCAGAGAATATTATATAATTTGTTTTCGAAATGTTTAAAGTTAAAAGATTAGCTTGAAACCATTTATTTAAAAGATTTAGGTCACGTTGTGCGTCACCTACTACCGTTTCAATTGCATCCCCAAAATAAAATAAAGTAGTGTCATCTGCATATAATGTAACGTCCCCTTTTAAATCAACGTCTTTAATATCGTTTATGTAAATTAAAAATAACAGAGGGCCCAGAATAGATCCTTGGGGGACGCCAAATGTGATATTTTGCCTTTTACTTAGTGCGCCACCGATTTTAACTATTTGAGAGCGGTTTGAAAGGTAGGATTGGAAGATATTTAGAGCTGCACCCGTAAGTCCAATCATAGACAGCTTTTTAAGAAGTAAAGGGTGACTAACTGTATCAAATGCCTTTTTGAGGTCTACAAACAGACCTAGCGCCACTTTTTTCTTGTCAATGTTTATTTTTAATTTCGTAATAATGTCTATTGTCGCTGACACTGCACTAGATTTAGGTCTAAAGCCGTACTGTTTATTGTACAAGACATTTTTAGATTTCAAGTAAGCCTCTAGTCGTTTATAGAGAACCCGCTCAAAGATCTTGGATATAGCAGGTAGCACAGATATAGGACGATAATTGCCTGGTTCTGATTTTTTACCAGATTTGAAGATAGGCGTAACTTTTGCGACTTTAAGAGAATCCGGGAAAGCTCCAGTTTCTATGCATGAATTGATACAACACGTTAATTCATTTACTATAAGATTTTTTAAACATTTTAACGATTTAATGGTTATTCCATCAATACCAGCACTGCTATTTGTGTTTAATTTATTTATTATGTCACTTATTTCTTCTGTATTAGAAAGTTCAAAATTATTTAGAAGTGAAGCATCATTATTAGTATCATCTGTAATGTTGTTAACACTTATTGTTACTGGAATTTGATCAGCTAAGTTCGCACCAATATTAGAAAAATAGGAATTGAACATTTCACAAATTGCTGTAGGATCAGATGCACAGCCTGATTCATTTACAAGAGTGTTTGGCAATTGGGGTAGTCTCATTTTATTACTAGTTAGTGTATTAATCAATGACCACATCTTAGCTGGTTTTGTTATAGTTATAGTATAGTAAGCATAAATTTCAAATATGGTTTATTAATTATGACTTGTTCTAGGTTTTTGTGGCATAGTAAGAAAATAATGATAAATAAAATAATTAAATTATTTTCTTTTCCAAATATCCAAAGCCAAAATAGGTCGATAGCGCATCTTGTTTAGATGATCTATGGCTGGGTTATTTCACTTTCACAGGGAACGTCATGCTTATATGTCCTCCTCTAACATTAAAAAAATATTTCTACGTTTCATTAAAACGTACCATTATGATGAGACAGGTCAATATGCAGCATGGCTCGGTCTGCTGCATCAGCCACAGCAGCACTTAGGCCAAGTTGTGAAGTTGGAGATGAACATAACATTGGGTCACCTGAAGTGAATAAACGGAGCATTAACGTATAAGTATTTTCACGTGGCAATCATTATTTGAATTTCATCAAGAAAGTAATATTTTTGAAAAACTTTAATTTTTCACATGAATAAAAATTCAGGCAGGACTTGAATATTTATTTTTCTGGAACTACAATGACATTATTACAAAAAAAAAACGAATTACTCTACAAAACAAAAATAGTGGCACTAAACTAAATTTGTATATTATATATAGCTATAAAACGAAAACTAATGTATATGTTCTAAAAAATCATCTTACCACACCACCATTTTCAAAAATGTATAGAGTATATCTAATAATACTATAAAAACAAATGCGACCTTTGAATTACGCACACACTTCTCTTTCTTTTTGTGTGTCTATCTCTCTCTCTGTGGGTGTTTAATTGTGAAGGGCTTTAGTTCTATTGTAAATAATAAAGTTTATATATTACCTGTGGTGACAGGATTATGTGAGTCGTCATCCATTAGATCTTCGATTTGAGCGAGGTTCAGCACCGCTTCGCTTTCTTCTCCACTTAGAAGGCTCGGTGGGGGGGACAATCGCATCTGAAAAAAAATACAAGATTAATTTAGTTGTATGATTTAAATAATAAATTCTAGTAACGATGACAGAGGCCAGTGATTCCCAAAGTGGTCTATATCGACCCCTTGGGGTCTGTGATAGCCTGCAAGTGGTCTACGTCAGCGAAAAAACATTTGGGGGTCCACGATAGTGCATCTCAAGACATACACTGATAGTACCTAATTACTTACATCATATTATCTAATAATATCAAAACATATACATTATTTATAAAAGTACCTATGAAGTAAAAACAGACAGATTTTTTGTTTATTTTGAGGAGTTTCAATTCAATTCAATATATAAATGTATAAATAAACATGTGTTTTTCTTTAAGTCTTAACACTAAACTTCACTACAGTTAGAAATTTACTTTACTTAATTTAGGGGTCTACAATACAAAAAAAGGAACTCTAATATAGTCGAACCTGTTTTGTTATAAACTAATTGTATGTATTTAAAAACTAATATTTCTCACATGTTATTGCACATGATGGCATAAATTAAAAATCTGTTTAGGTTGAAAAAAATCGATGACACGGGCGGGTCATGAATCAACATTTACACCTTCATAAGTGTTAAGGTCGAAATAATGGGTTGAAATTCGACGATGAAGTGTATGAGGGTAGCTGAATTGGTTATAGCAGAAGTACGGAACGCTGTGGATGCCGCTTCAAGTTCCGCTAGTGTCGTCAAATTGTTCAATCTGAATAGGTTTTAATTTAATTGCCTATATTTTACTTTCAAAGAAAACTTACGCGTTTTGTCCTTCAGAATGCAGTACAAAGATAAAAAAAATCATTATTTTATCTTAGAAATTAAATTCCTATATAAAAACATATAACCATGCCAAATGGAAGTATTGAAAGTCATTAAAATGTATATTCTCAGTAAAGAGCACGCAACGGAAACCCTGATAGAGGAATAATTTCCCCATTTTTTCCATATTTTCCAATAGTTCTTTGATCCTATTGGTCGCTAACTGATTTTATAGTTTCAAGCTTTCAGTTCCAGTAGTTCCAAGATAAGCGCGTTCAAACAAACGTTTTCAGCTTCAGAATATTTGTATAGATATAAACCTACCTTTATGTCTTTGTGGTTGAATAGATGGTCTGTGACAGGCTCCAGGCAAAGATCAGGCTCGAGGCAGTCCAAGGAAAGTCCATCTGATCGACTTAGTGGAGAGCACGAGCCCAGTTTTAATCCGTCTGAAAAACAATTTAATAACTTTAGTTTAGTCTGTTTTTATCGAGTCAGTTTAAATTTGTGGATTTCCAATTCTAAAGCCAAAATGGATCAAAGACGAATCTTTATCAAGTGAATTTATGCGTTTCTATCAACTCCTATTTAAAAAAAGAGATGGCGCAGGTCGCATTACATAATAATAAAATTTTAATTATAGAACAAAGAACTTTAAATTACCAACCTAACGCATCTAATGCAGACAATGGTTCTCCAGCAGGTGTATCTCTCAACAAGTCTGGTTGAGGGTCGCTTAACTCCATCATCGGTGCTGGTTCCGCTTTTGGCACCATCACCTCCTGAAATAATTAACCATGATGTTATGACCATAATAAATGTTGTATCAGTGTTAAAGTTTTTTTTAGATTAAAGAAATACATTTACGACACTGGCAGGACTTCAACCGACATTCACAGCTTGCCGTGCAGCTTATCTAACCAAATGAGCTACTATATCCTAAACGGCAGTATCGATTTTTTATTGATACATGCCCCTCTTGTGCAATGAAATTTCAACCTTAATAATAGTAACACCTACGTGTTGTAATTCAATGTCTTATGCTTTGCAACTTAAGAAATAGTTGAAGATGAAATTACAGACTTTGAATTTGAAAACTTTAATATTTTTCACAAGTATTTGTAAAACTAAATAGATTTTTAATATATATTTTTATTATAATATAATCCAGGTGTATAAATTTTCAATCTGAACTTGAACGTTTAACAGTGTACGTGACACACAAAAAGTTATAGAATGCGTTAATAATGGCGGAAAAAAACCGTATATCAAAAGTAAACTTGAAATAACGGTCATACAACTTACAGGCTGCGTCCGCGCAGGTGACGCGTAAGGTTCTGGAGTGGACTTTACCCCCGAGTCTGTGGAGTGGGGCGAAGCCCAGCCTTGGTTTAGCATACTCTGCTGAGATATGTTGTGCTGTAATTATATTTTATATATTACTTGTTGTAGGGATATATATTTTGATAACAAATATGTAGGTGTGGCTAATACTTTGAATGTTTTTTTTTAATAAATAAGAATTGCAGGAGTGTAATATTATTTCACACATAAGCATAGTGGAGTATAGTTCCATCATTTTTTTTATTAAAAACCAGTACCACATCCTTACAGAACAATAAATCCAACATGAGAGTGAGTTACGATAATATTTTTTAAATAAATAAGGAGAGTATGATATTTCGTCTTTCAAAACAGTCTATACTTTAAATATATATAATCTTTGGACGTAAACTTTACGCAGGTAATAATGTATATGTAAAAATTTAATCAAAATTGATCCAGTCGTTTGAAACATCCTCTCCTAATCTCAATCTTTAGCAATTTGAAACTCACATGTTGTGTCCTAGCTGGTGATGCGAAGGGCTCCGAGTGTGTAGTCTCGATACCGGAATCGTCCGTGTGAGGAGAAGACCAACCCTCGTTAGAGACTGGTAAGCCGTGCAGCTTCGCGAGTCGCTCCAACTCCTATAAAAGGGTTTTTTAAAGACATAAGATTCAACATAATAATGTTAATATTTATCAAAGTGTGTTGTTGATGCCATCCGAACGAAGTCGCGGGCATAGCTAGGCGATTATATATAACAAACTGATATGGAAAAGCTTTTGTCATTGACGCAAATAAACTCTTCAGCTGGTATTTTCGTAGTGAAGACATACCTGTATCCTTAACATGAGTTTCCTATTGTGCAACTCGATCTGTTTTCGACGCTGCTCGCTCTGCTTGAGCCTGTTAACTTCGTCGCGAAGGCATTTGATGTAATCCACGCTGCTCTTGAGAATGGTTCCCTTATTGGGTCTCACGTCGCGTATCACCTCGTAGAAGGGGTCGTTGGTCTTGGGCAAGAGCGTCCCCAACTCCTTGATCCGGTCGTTGATGTTGAAGCGACGACGACGCTCAACTAGGAACAAGGAAGTTTTATTAAATAATTGTTGTTTATGAATTAAGTTATAATTAAATACAGACGGACAAAATAATAACACCACAAACACACACACTTAGCCGTTGTGTGTGTATTTTTTTATGATAGAGTAGGACACAGAAGCTTGGGGTTCCCTTGATGGTAGGTGAAATACTTCAGCTATATAACATCTAAACAAGATGCGCGTTCGAACTATTTTGTCTTTGGATATTTGGAAATCCACTGAAACCGAACCGGTATTAAACTTGACGGCACTAAATGTCTTCATACACATCGACACTACATTATTATGATAAAACAAGGAACAATAAAGTTATACCATACCATACAGTTTATGATTGTAAATTAAACTTTTTAAACGGTTTAAATTACGGAAGGTCTTAGTAAAATTGATTTACTATATTGCACAGCCAAAACTCCTTGAAAAGAGAAAGCAGATTAAGTCTACTTTCTTAGCTTCCGAAACATCAGATCGTAGGTCAAATAAAATGTTTATTTAACTAATACATTTCCCGTTTTTAACCGTTGAAAATGTTTCATTTAAATGTGTACTTCTCGTTTAAACTCAACTCACTCATATTGTGGTTGTCTTTCTTCTGTCTATCCTTGGCGAGCGCGTGCATATCAGCGTCAGAGAGTAACGCGCAGTCACCAGCTACTGAGCTGGCCGTGGAGGCTGGTTCTGATGAGGATAACGGACCACCACCGCCATCAAGAGATAGGATGTCTTCCAGGAATTCATCTGCCTGCAATTATTAATCGAAGTATTAGTATTTAAATGTTCAAAAATAAACCTTGTCACAAATAAATAAATTCGATTCCCTGTCAAAAATAATAATTAAAGTTTAAGTATGTTAGGTAAGTAGATTTTAAATTATTAGGAGTGATTAACTTTTTAGACAATTCTGGGGTACACTTGATGGAAGGTAAGCAAAAAACTATCTACTTTAGTTTTTGGATATTAGAAAATCCAGAAGCTTTCACGTTATTTCACTTTTGGCTTTACCAACTGTGGACGGTGGCTCGTGACCCGGACGGAATTACGGTATTACTACCACTTAGAGATTCCTGTCCAGATTGTTCTATGTCCAACATGTTTCAGAAAGAATATGAAATGACTTTAAGATACATGTTTGAACGGTAAACGAGCCCATGATCCGTTGATTATTAATAGTTAATTTTCAAATAAACACTTTAACGGTTTAAAACGCGATGTATTATATTATTATGACTGCTGCAAAGCGTCCGAGACGCCAGGCCGTAGTTAAAAATAATTTTCAAATAAGTTGAACTAATATATTGCGTTTTAAACCGTTAAAGTGTTTATTTAAATGTGTACTACTCGCGTAAACTATAGACAGTAGCCTTAATTATACTAAAATACATATATAAACTGTCAGCTTTGAATCTGAGTAAATTGTAAGTAATTTCTACATCCCCCGTGTCCTCGGCTGAAGCGTGAGCGAAGCAACCGAAACGTCGGGCCGTAGTTAAAGTAAAATGTAAATAAGTAAAGTAATATATTTCCCGTTTTAAAATGTAAAAGTGTGATATTTACATAAGTAGATTTATTTTGTAATTAAATTACCTCCGATGTGCCTCCACCAGAACAGATTCCAGGGCTCATGAGTCCACTGGACGAAGCTCTGTCCGGGGAATTCGTTCGTCTGCCTAACTCAGGCGCCGACTGGGCTGGTGCACTTCTTCCATTTGATGAAACCTGCAGTTGGAAAGCCGAAATTTAAACATACTTATTGTAAGCCATGTGAAAATACACTTAAATTGTTCTTATATGCACTAACTTATCAATTAAGAAAGTGCAATTTAAGAGCAAGAGGTAGTCAGATTTTCGACTACCCGCTTTTGAGAAAATTTTAGCAACTTTTGAAAACATTAATATTTTTCACATGTTATTGCACATGAAGGTACTATATAATTTAAAAACCGAAGATAAATTGAAAAAATTTTCGACTCGGGCAGGACTTGAACCGGCATCGTCAGCTTTCCGTGCTGTTGCTCTACCAATTGAGCTACCGAGTCCTACACCTCATCGTCGAATTTTTTCAACTTATTGATACATGCACCTCTCGCGCAGTGTAATTTCAACCTTAACACTTGCGCATTAAGGTTCAATGTCTTATGCTTTGCAGCTTAAGAAATCATTGAAGATGAAATTACAAAGTTGTAACGTTTGAAAACATTAATATTTTTCACATGTTATAACTTTTATGTAAAGAACATTTAACATTCTCAATTTGAAATATTTTAAAGTTGTTTTCAAAGTACAATGTAGTGAAGATTTTTCAATTGTAAATAAAACTGTTTCACATACACTTTGAATATAATAACTTCAGTAAAAGTTTCTAGTAACATTTTGTTTCTTAAGTAAAGTACTTTTTTACTTAATGAAAAGATTTGATTTAATAACCTTCTCTTATTATAACTTCAGAAAGCTTTTAACCTGTCTATGTACTGACCTGGCCCTGAGGTGTGAAAGATTCACTGAGATATTGCCGCACTTGACTCTTCTGTTTCTGGATCACGTGATATCTGGTGGGGTTCTCCAGAACTGTTCGCACCTGGATTATGGAGACGAGTTCGAAATGAGTATACCAGTCATTAATCATGGAGAATATGATAATTAAATGTCTGTATAGAATGAAGCAAAATGTGCCAACTGTATTTTAATTTTTCATTTCAATTACTGTTTTCTGAATAATGATCAAAAGGATTAAAGAGATAGATAGAATCTATGATTGAATAACGCCAAAACTTGGCATAAATGGCACGTTTTGGAAATGTTTATCGAGGAAATTGTGAAGTGTTATAGCGTGTATCTCTATTTCTTGCGATACAGAGTCTGTAGTCTGTAGTTGTCTATATCTCAAAGCGTTAATAATTATAGTGTTAATACAACAAAGGTTATATTCAACTGCTAGATCTAAATAATATGATTTCTGCCTTGTAAGAATTTCCGCGTCCAGTCAAAGTATGTCTCTATAGTGTTTATTTTTCAAGATCTATTTTCTTACCTGTAACACCTGTGGCGGCAATTCCACGTGTGGCGTGATCCTCGGCACTTCCGCTGGGTTCGACTTTTTCTTCTCTTCTGCATTCTCTTTTGACTGACCTGCTTGCTGTGCCTGTAAAGACAGGAATAAACTTAAACACCCAATCATTAATCAGGATTCACTGAAATATACTCGAAACATATTTGAAGCAATTAGTAAAAGCCATTTAAGCTATATTTAATGGAAATATGCGCGATACCTAATAGCTCATTTGGTGAATGAGCTAAGTGGTGGGGGACAACAAATTAAAGGCTGTAATGGATGGCTAATAATTAACGGGTCCAGCATTTTTCTAATCGATTTATAATTTTTCTGAAACATGTTAGACTTCGTCTGGACCGTCTAAAATAAAACGGCCGTCAAGTTTAATAGCCTTTCGGTTTCCAGTGAACCCTGCTGGTCTATTCTCCTCTATTATAAAAAATCCTCTATAGTAACACCAAGTTAATGGGAAAAACTAGAGATGTGCCGAGTAACGAGTATCGAGTTTTACGCGGTTCAAATATTTTTCAACCGAGTACTCGGCCGAGGAACTCCGTTCAGTCAAATTACCATTTGGCGTTATCAAGTACAAACAGGTTCGCGCCGGTCAAGACGTCGGCTCGATTGAATACACCCCTCACCCCGCCCACGCCTTTCGCCTACCAGTCACTTGTTTGTTTTTTAAAGAGATTTGAGATTTTTAAAGATTTTCTAAATTACTAATAAATATTTTTGGATTAACACTGTTGCTTAAACAAAGTTAAACCGCCGAGTCTGCAGAGTACCGAGTATCAGCCGACTACCCGACCCATCTCTAGGAAAAACACAGACCCCGAAGAAATATGCACTAAAATAAAGATTATTAAATAATACTTTACAGAAATATACAATTGTAAATCAAATAGATGAAAACGTAAAAACTATTTAAATAAACCGTTAAAGTGTTTTATTTTAATGTGTACTACTCGCGTAAACTATAGACAGTATTTAACGTAAAAACTAACTTTTCATTTTGTATTACTGAGAATCGAGTCAGATAATATGCTCTGATTCTATCAAGGTTTACAGTGGTGATCATAATAACCTGTAAAGATTCTCTGCGTAGCTGCTCCTGCGCATGCTCTCGCATCAACTGCTGCTTCAGCTGCGTGCGAGACGTCGGTGTTAGTGTCTTGAATGTGGGCGGGCTGGAACAATAGGTAAGTTTATATTACAAAAAAGAATTCATTTAAGTGTGCCAATGTGGAAATATATTTATCTACGCGTTTTACGGATTTAAGTTGGGGCAAGTAAAAAATTGTGTTTCTGTCAATATTTAAGTAAAATTTCTAGGTTATCGATCGATCTCGATATTAGAACTCATAATTACTAATACAGTGTAAACTCCATGTAACGTCACTTATTAAAAAACTTCTGAGTCGAATATTGGTTTGGTTGGTTTAGCTTGTTTTCATACAATGTTTCTTCTCTCCTCGACAACTCTCTTACGCCATAAAATGCACAGTCCCTTCAGTGTCGCTATAAAGAGTTTACACTTTTTTTTAAAGCTGGGGATGTGTTTGTTTGAACTCGCTAATCTTGGGGACTGATGCTTCGAATTGAAAAATGTGTTCCATAGACAATAGGGACAAGACAAGGAGGACTTTAGGTTATAAAACATCATGTTAAAATCTGTAAATGCGAAGAAATAGTGGAAAATTTTTAAAAAAATAAAACGTCGAAAATTATTCATTCATTGAGGGTTTCCGATACGATGCGAAAACGGTTTAAGATACCCAAAAAATATGATTCCTTTTTAAATGATTTAAAAACTGTCCGCGACATATTATGTCTATCTTTTAAGAACTCGCAAGAACGATGGGGCGCGAACGACGTAGTAGGTATAAGCTGGTAACATTTAAATATGCTCTATGCGAAGATGAATCAGGGTAGTGTAACTAAAGTTATGTAAAAATTAAAAGACTAAAAATAAGTTGAATATATATCGCGTCTTAAACCGTTAAAGTGTTTCATATAAATGTCCACTAGTCGCGTAAACTACAAACAGTATTTAAGTAAAAAACAAATTTGTTTAAACTTCAATGAGAACTTCTGTTTAGTCCCTAATTGGTATGTCGTTGGTAATACGCCATCAATTCAGCACTTTCTTCGTCCTTAAACCAATGCCAGCACATTTTTATTCATGTAACGTTCAAAGGATTTGATAGCTACGCTGTGCGCACGCACGCGCATTGAACTCTCGAAAACGAGAGGCGCTTGTTTTTTACGCTGTTTATAAAGTGGTCTCGAGTATTTGACGTTTTTAGCTTCTCGGAGCAAAAACGTATACAAAAAAATATTTTAATTTACATTAGACATCGACCAGAGTCCATATCAGTACCACGAGCGCAAAGGTTGTCAAATTACAAAGATCACATTGGCTTAATTTTCTTTATGTCAGTTAAAAATAAATAACGACGATCCATTGTGACGATGTGGCTACAATCCAAAGTTCGAGTCCGTGTCAATGTTTATTACGTCAGGTGGCTAATATATTATATAATAGAAAAGGACTAACGGCTGTTTATGTTAATAAAATATAGTAATGTGTTAACAGACTTTGGTACACCGCGGTAAATAGATTCAGAACTATACATGAAGCATTTTTTCCGGACATAGTACTAAAATTCCCTATATAATAAGAAGTTCTTTAAAGTTCCTATTTTGTTTGTATGTATGTGATATGTTATATATAGACATAGATAGAATATACTGTAGAAAAAATGTTGTCTATATCTATACTAATATAAAAAGCTGAAGAGTTTGTTTGTTTGAACTCGCTAATCTCAGGAACTACTAACTAGAATTGTAAATATTTTTGTGTCGGCTAGAGTATTTATGGGGGAGGGTAATAGGCTATAAAACAGACGATGTGACTAATAGGAGCGAAGAAACTACGGGAAATGTGGAAAAAACGGGGAAAATTATTCATCCGTGTGGGTTTCCGATGCGTACGCTGCGATGTGACTATAAACATATTTTTATAACAATGTCATAATCTATTGTTTTGAAAGCTTCTTATGATTGTGTCAGTAAACAATTATGTATAGAATAAATCGAGTTCCGAGCTGCTCTAACTAATTAAGGAACGCTGTGGACGCAAACGCCACCCGCGTCGCCATTTTTTAAATAAAAACAGTCTTATTTATATTATGGCCTGAAATATCAAGTGGAAAACATTAAAGTTTTCAAAATAATTATTTTTCCTCTGTAAGGAAACTATAACCCACTTTAAGATTGTGTTGATGAGTACCGCTCACCCAAGGTTGTGTGACGCTCATATACTAATAATTTCGTTCAATGTATGCCAAATCAATCAACTGTTGTCAACAGTTGATTACGCGTAACGTAACGTAACGTAAACGATACGCTTTTGAAGTATTAAAATTAATATCGTTATTCTCTTCTATCATTCAGCCTTTGCACTTCAACTTTGTAATTGTGTATTTCACTGTTTTAAATAAATAATTTAAACCGTTTAAAACGCGGTATATATGACTTGGTTGTTTTAACTACGACCACGAAGTTTTAGATATTGTAATCTGTATACGTAGATACAACGTGATAATCTCACATACCTAATCCGTTTCACTGATCGATTTATTTTACATTTGATCAGTTTTTTGTGCCCTGTCGACTTACGCGATTTATTGTTTTCCAGAATTCGAACCGAGGGAAAACGTTTAACCATTCAACTACAGAGATGGTCGCACTAACTGTAGATGTATTAACAGTACAAGAATAATAAATTACAAACCGATCTTAGATTGAAAACAATTTAACGATACGGGCGAGCCTTGAACTGGCATCCACAGGGTTCCGTACCGTTGCTCTAGCAAATTGGGCTACCGTGTCCTTAACGTCGCTTAATGTAATTTCAACTTTAAAACTTATAAACTTAGATTCAATTTCTAATTGCGCTATGGGGGTTGAAAAATTTCGACTATGTGTTGTAAATGTTTTTCAACCTAAAATAGATTTTTAATTTATTTTATAATATAAGGAATTTATTCAACATTACTTGATAATGTTATTCTTGGTGAAGGCGATAACCAAAACGGTTGGCTATAAGTTAGCATCGATGTCGATAAAGGTTTAAAAACATCGTAGACGTTTTATCAGTTCTTATCACTATTAATCTTACTGTCATTTTCACCCGAGTATATGATGGATAGCTACTTCCCTGTACTAACTATCTACTGGAATAAATGCGTAAAAATTTGGATTATATAAATTTAATCAGAACGTTACTTAAGCTTGGGGATAGCTATAGAGAGCGGACAAAGTTTACCATCACTATGATGTACTACCATAATGACCACGACTGTACCTAAGATAGGTACAGAATGCTCTTATTTTTACAGCCTGATTTCTCCTATGGGGCATGGGGCGAACACATTTCTGTGTCTTCTTCACTGCTGAATTTAATTTACAGACATGAAGTTAATCAGGCCTTAATGCCCTGCTCGACTAAAACAATTTATTGGTTCCCCAGGATTGAACACCAGGACCTCTTTTAATGATGAGTAATGCTTTTAAATATAAAGGAAGAAATCATCTATTGCGATACACGATGCGATAATGTTGGAATATATATACTTACTAACTGTGCCCGCGACTTCTTCCGCGTGTAATAGTGACTTGGGTTAGGATTTTTAATTATTTTGGCTGTTTATTAATTTATGTAAGAGCGCATTTAAGGCAGCCAATCTATGTTGTAAGTGCTACTTTGCCGCAACACTCTCACCTCACATCACTCCTACTCTCACTCCCACTCCCATTCCCATAAAGCCACAGAAAAAAGTTTCATTGCTCTAGCTTCAAAAACCACGAATTTCCAAATAAACTTTCATCTCCTTTTTCAACCCCTTTTTGGCATTAAAAAGTGTCCTTTCTCAGTCTCTAAAATATCTGTGTACCAAAGTTCATTTAAACCAGTTCAGTAGTTTCGGAGTGGACAGACAGACAAACAGACAGAGTTACTTTGGCATTTATAGTAATAGTATAGATTTAAAGAGAACACTTAAACGGTTTAAAATGCGATGTATATTAGTTTAACCTTTTTGCTGCAGTAGGGTCACGGTGAGATGTATTTAAATAAAAACTCGAGAAGCAATTTACTCAAAATCCGATCTTTACCATATAACATTCATACATTATTAACATAATGTAATACACTCCATGAGGAAAACAGTCAATTCTTATATAAATAATAAGCAATTATCTATTTAAAAGACGTCTTCTGTTATCGACATAACAAACACTTTTACAGATTCGTCAAAGATAAATACATTTTCGGCTTCTTGTTCTTGCTATATGCATGACTAATAATCAACGGGTCGGGGTGCGATCCCCACCGGGTCCAACATGTAAGATTTCATCTCGAAAATCTAGATAGTTTCAATCGACAAGTTTTTAATATTCAAAGTCAAAATAGGGCAATAGCGCATCGTCTTTATATCCCATCATGTGAACAACACGCTTGCCTGTCTTTCACTAACATGAAAAACGTTGTTCTAACTCGAATTCAGGCGGTGTTACGTACAAAGAGGTTTAAAATACTAAGATAGTTAAATATCTAATCAGACAGACACTTGTATGAAGTGTCAAGAGCCGCATCAGGACATATTTGTGACACTTCTTGTCAGAGTCATTTAAGATTGTAAGTCGTGACGACATTTTTATTATTTAAAGTGGCGGTAAGGGCCTCGTTTATGGAGAGAGAAATAAAGATAGATAATTAAAAACCTATTATTTGTCCTAACGACTGTATATACTGGATTTTATTAAAATCGTTTTGACAGGAGCATTATGTATCTATACTAATATTATGGGTTTGTTTGTGTGACCGCGCTAATCTAACGAACTACTGGTTCGAATTGATTTGTTTTTTGTGTTGGATAGACCATTCATTTATCAAAGAACGCTATAAAGCATTACGTTGCGACTAGTAGGAGCGAAGAAATAGTAGAAATATTAAACAATATAATACAAGAAATGGTAGAACAGTAGAAAAACGGGTAAAATTATTAATCTTTGAGGGTTTCCGTTCCGTGTTCTGCGAAAATTTTCCCCGTTGTTTCCACATTTTCCCCTATTTCTTAGCCCCTATCGGTCGCAGCCTGATAGCATTTAAGGCTTTCTCGAT